GCTGGGCTCCGGCGATCCTTCCGCCTCAGCCTTCCGAGTAGCCGGAACTACAGGCGCACTACCACATTCGGCTAATTTTTTAATTTATTGTAGAGACAAGGTCTCACCATGTTGTCCGGGCTGGTCTCAAACCCTCAGGTTCAGGCAATCCTCTCACCTCAGCATCCCAAAGTACTGGGATTACAGGCTGAGCCACTCAGCCCAACCTTGAACCTATTATTTTCAAAATAGTTTCCTAAAAACCAGTGGATAGCTTATGATTCCATCATCATATATTCTATGAAACATGCATATACGCCAAGAAAAAGTCAAGAAGGAGTCATATCAACGTGGCAACAGTGATTCTGCCCTCTGGGAGGTAGGATGAGAGGTGACTTTTTCCTTTCTGCTTACCTGTATTTTCTAATTTTTTTCCAAATAAGCATGAATTAGTTGTATATAAAATACTGGATAATAGCCTCTAGGTTCTTAGTACTTTATTTACAAAAACAGACCAAGTTCAATATTCCACTGGCCACATCAACATACTTACATAGTATGGCTCTGCCTCCCTTTCAGTTATCTCATCCTGATAGAGAGTGAAGCAAGTTGGGATTCGTCCAAACCACACATCTCGAAGCACATCTTTGTCATCTGTCATTCTTCCAGTGATTAAAGCAGTACATACAGGCTAAATTCTTTGTTCAACCCAAGCCAAACTGAAAAGAAAATGAAAGCATTAGTCAGATCCTTGCAAAGATGAATGAACCTGACACAAAACAAAAGATTATAGGAAAAACTGAGTGTCATAAAGACTATTCACTTCAAAAAAGTATGATTAGCCTTCTTTAGAATAAATACAAAAAAATCAGTATAACAAATTCTAAATGTAGAGCTATTATTTATTTAAAGGGATCAGACAGTCTGGACAACATAGCAAGACCCTGTCTCTACAAAAAAAAATTTTTTTAAATCAGCCAAGCGTTGTGGTGCACACCTATAGTCCCAGATACTTGTAAGGCTGAAGCAGGAGAATCATTTGAGCCCAGAAAGTAAAAGCTGCAATAAGCCATGATTGTGCCACTGTACCCAGTCTGGGCAACAGAGTGAGACCCCTACTCAAAGATAAATAAATGAATGAATAAACAAATGGATCAGAGAAATAATCATCCAAAATTACATATGCAAGTAATGTTTATTACAAAAAAGTAATGAACCACAGCCAAAATGAAACTATACTTGTGTTATCCTTTCAAGCCCAGAAAGCCTATCGTTTAGATAAAGAGAACCCTTCACCTCTGCACTATGATTACTGATAGGTCAGCTCCAAAGAATCATTCTCAGAATTATTGTAAACAATACATTAAACCTCTCCTACTAAAGATCTTCCTTTCTTCCTGCAAAAATATTCTCTCATCTTGGAAGATATCTCTTTCATCTTGGAAAGGAATCTTTGTATAAACCCATTCCCCATTCTAATTCATCCTGTCCACAACTCGATCCCACCCATATTTCCAGTCTTACTTATTATACTTCTTTTATAAACCCTCTAGCAAAAGTGACCCCTGAACAACCTGCCCTGGGACATGGCTTTTGACCTCTGTGATACTCAAGGTTCTTCCAGTGCCAATATTCTACAATTGAATAGCACCTCAATACACCACATGAGTAAATGCTGAAGTAAATACTGTTAATAATTTATACTTAGAGTAACTCAACAGGTGATAACGGGGTACTAAGATGCAATATACTTATCCAAGTAATATTTCCCATCTTTCATTGGCAGCTAATTCATAATTTATTATAATGTATCTGGTGAAAATATTCTAAACAATCATGAATTTAGCCATATATGAATTATTAACACTGAATTACTCACAGAGTTTGTTTCCTTTCTTTTCCCTTCCAGTAAACAATACCAAGTACATTACGACTGTCATAAATTAATTAGTTAAACAGAGAAAGAATTAGAGGTCAACTGGATTCAATGTCATCTACAGGTAAGTAATTTGAAAGAGGTGAAAAAAACCTGTCTAACATAAAAGTACTAGGCAACAGTCAAACAGGATAAGAACTTCGGTACTTAAACTAAGTCCAGGGCTCTTTCCAGCATACTACCAGTGTTTGAACTTTTATTAAATTTCATCCAAATAATAACTATTTTGAGCAAATCATACATGCATTTAAACTTCTATAGTTCCAAAGATAGGCTTCAAATTCAAACCACCATTGAGTTTCTGCACTCAGTAGAAAATTTCTAAGATTACACATCACACAAAATTAAATTATTGAAAATAGTAAAGATTTACCTACATCCTGGTTACATTACTAGCTTGCTCTTTTTAAAGTAAATTTACTAATGGCAGGAAATAATGAAATCTGGGTTATGACAAGTAAACCTAAAATTGAATCAAACTTGTAGTGTGCAGTGGTTTCCGTAACCATGATACTTTTAATTAATCAACAGTCACAACTGATGAGTGCTCTCTTGATCATAAGAGACAACAATTTGGCTGGGCTCGGTGGCTCAGCCTGTAATCACAGCACTTTGAGAGGTCGAGGCAAGTGGATTGCCTGAGCCCGCAGGTTTGAGACCAGTCCCAGCAACTTGGCATGACCTCGTCTCTACAACAGATCAAAAAATTAGCCAGGCATGGTAGTGCGTGCCTGTAGTTCCAGCTCCTTGGAAGGTGAGGCAGAAGGATCGCCAGAGCCCAGCAGGTGGATGCTGGCATGGCCGTGAGTGTGGTACTGCCCTCCAGCCTGGGCGACAGAGTGAGACTCCAACTCAAAAAAAATTAAAGAAACAATTTAAGGCAAAGTTCTCCTTTGCTAAGAATCTTTAAGAAAATATAATTACAAGTGTAGAGTTAAAGGTAACTATCAATATTGTCACATTGGTTATTTTTCTCCTCAGAAGAAGCAGAGAGAAATATAATCCAAGACGATTGGTCTTCTCCAAGCACCATCCTACTCTCAAGAAGAAATAATGATCCAGATGTGTTGGGAGCCGGCCTTGGAGGTCCACCTGATTGACAGGGTCCTGGTGGGTCGAAGACCCCGGGCCGCAGGGTGAGCCCGGGAAGCTGAGGCCCTTCTGTCTTCCACCTTTGCTGTTTGGTACGGCTGAAGAAATTCTGTGCAGTCGTGGAAGAAGAAAATGGCACGTTTATGCGAAGTACTCACACCTAACCTGAGAATGTCATGGTTCATTTTCCCATTTTCCCACTATGCCGCTTGGCCTTTTCTAACATATGCAAGGGTTAAACTCTGAAGCACATCAAGAATGCTTTCTTTCACTTGGTTATAAGTTACTAGATAATGCTTGAATAAAAAATGATATTAGGCCGGGCTCGGTGGCTCAGCCTGTAATCCCGCGCCTTTGGGAGGCTGAGGTGAGTGGATTGCCTGAGCCCGCGGGTTCGAGACCCGCCTGGGCAGCGAGACCTCATCTCTACAATAAATCAAAAAATCAGCCGGGCGTGGTAGCGCATGCCTGTAATTCCAGCTACTTGGAAGGCTGAGGCGGAAGGATCGCCAGAGCCCAGCAGGCGAGGTTGTGGTGGCCAGGAGTGGCCACTGCACTCCAGTCTGGGCGACAGAGTGAGACTCCAACTCAAAAA